CCTTCTCAAGATAGAATACTGAGATTATTCCCCTTCCCTTGTAGCCTCTTTTCACCGAAATCAAATGTGAGCTGCTCTCTAACTGCACCGGAAAATCAGAATTTATTGTACATATGTTTGTGTTCCACTTAATAAAAAAACCTATATTTTAAGATAAACTTTGTTAGTAATTCATGAGGTAAGTGACTATTTATGCTAATCAGGCAGAAATATATTCTCAAGCATAATGCATTACATAAATTTGAATGCAAAATGTTCAATTATGAGGTAAATACAGGTAATGCAAATAATAAATTACCTCCAATAAAAATTATAAAAGATGTGTCTTCAAAGAGAGATCGGCTTTAACTTACAACCGTGAATCGCTTAAAGAGAAAAGAATTAATAAAGGCTGAATTACTCTGATGATTATTTAGCACATAATTCACCTATTCATAACGACTCCTAGTAATCAGGCGGTTGTTTCACATTCTCCAATATGAGGCAAGACTGTTTCCTCAGCAATTTTGCCCTTATCAGATTATCTCGCCTGATTCTATTAATTTTCCTCCGTGAATCTGCGAACAGTGATTTGTGATTTACTTACCCTGCTAACTAAAGACTGTTACGAGGATATATCTAACATGCTAAGAACAGTCTATGTGATCACCCAGTTACTTTTCTCAAATCACTTTAGCGAGGTGCACAGTGAAATGGGGCGGACCCTGGTTAGTTCTGTACCAGAAAATCAGCTCCTGGAGAAGCAAGAACAGACACTACACTTCTTGGTGCATTTTGTTCTTTTTCTGATTATCTCTGTCAGATTCCAACATGATCTACCTGAGTAGCTGTAACTCACCATCAGAGAAAAAAAAGATATATATTATTTTTAACTTTTAATCATTGTCATTTGGACACAAACAGGGTTTTCCTTCTTTTTGTCCCAAGTTGTTGTGTATGTACTGACACGAATCTACGGTTGTGTTCTGGATGTTATGGTTTCACAATCTTCTACATGATTCGACTCATGCCCTCCTCCCTCCCAAACTTCTATAAATATTCACGGCTTTCCGAAACTTTTAATGCTACTGGTTTGAATTGGTCAATAATGACAAAAGCATGGTTTTGAAATTACTCTGTATTGTTCTACAGAGATTACTAGCGTATATATAGCAAGGGGATATTAAGCAGCACGGAAACAGGGTTCGTATTGTATTTGGATTAGATGGGCTTGGAGAGAAGTGAAACAAACAATGTGAGCACAGAAGTCTAAAGAGATGTGGCCTGCTGTAATTGTGCCGAATCAAAAGCCTGAATAGTACTAATTAAAACAAGAGAGCTCAATTGTTGTAAAAGAAATGCCACTAACGGAGAACTGTAAATGTTTGGACACCCCTGTGAATCACTAAATAATAAAGTAAAAAGGACAAAAATGAGAATTTAGTTGTAAGTCTGAGAGCACTACTGTTACACATCTAAAAAAGTAATTCTGGTCCTCTCTCTCCTTTTTTTTTCCTCAAGCGAAAATAAGAGACTATAAAAGACTGCAATATGAGGAAGAAAAATACCATGGCTTAACAGCAGTGTACAGAAATAAACCATAAAAAATGTGCAGATAATAATACAGTTAGCTGCCCAAACATGAGCATTTAATTTCTAAAAATGATATATAATTGTAACAATTAGGTGCATGGCCATGAATCTATATCACATGGTCTTCCTCATGAGCGAACTTTGTTTATAAATGTTGTTTATGAATGCAGAAGTTTCAGTGCTCCTGGCCAAAAATACTTTCATGACAGACAAGGATCATTTCTTACAGCTTTTAACAAAAATGCGATGCCAAAGGATTAAAAATATATATATAAACAAAAAAGAAGCAATTCATCCTAACTGCATTTAAATTCATGTTTTACATGAATAATTATAAACTTCAGACATTTGTGGCTAATGATTTTTAAGAAGCCTAGAAACCTATTGCTATGAGCAACGCTAAATGACATAATATGTTTATGTAGTTTAAGAATTTCCTCTGAATAAACAAGCTGTAATCCCTTAACTTCATTACTAGGTAAAATACTGTTTAAGAGGTGGAAAGCAAAGGAATTCTGTTAGGTTGCATAAATATTGACATAACCATCACTCTTTCTCCACCAAACTGGTAATAGACATACTTCATTCCATCCCTACAAAGTATTCCCATAAAACCAAAACTACCCTTATAAACAGCTTCGCTGAAGTAATGATGAAAAGAAAAGGGCTTTTCTGGAAAATACCAACAGCACCGGCCTTTTAGGATTCTGATGTGCCTACAAACCCTTATTGGGGGATTCTCTCATTAGGAACCCTGCGGTCTGCTGCAACCCAAGGCTGCCAGCATCAGAGAAATTAACGCAGGTCTGATCCGGAGTCTGAAGCCAGTGAGTGACACCTAAGGTCTCGTTATAAATAGTACAGTATGCCGCGGGGTGGGTGACAGCCTTCTGAAGTGCAATGCTCAAGACGCGGGGCTTAATATATGACTAAGTGTCAGAAGTCAGGTTTTCTGAGAATTACTTTTCAGATAAACAACTTTATAGCGCTGCATTTAATCTTACTTACTTAGAGACATCTCATTTATCACTGAATTACAAGTAACTTTAATTCTATTGATATTGCCATAAAGCCCGCTGGAAATCCATCCTGACACTTTTAAAGGGCTTGGGGCCCTGTTACATGGGATCCACTTGCTAAAGGCTCTGAGACAGGATTACACTCCAAAAGGCTTCTGTGTCCCCTGTCCCCTTGGTCGACATTCAAGGAGGATAGTGGAGGAAAAATAACTCCCTCACCTGCCTGCACTGTCCTCAGCCCCTTACCGGGTTCTCCTCCCTGCAGTCAAACTTCCTGCGCCTCTCTCCTCCTCCCATCTTGGGAAACCAGCTTCTTTTCACTTCAACAAAACTGGACACGGATCAATTTCAACTGACCTTTGCCGAAAGGTGGCGCTGTTGAGGTAAAAACCAACTCGATCCAACAATAGTTTTCACTCTTCGATCCTTTTGCAGGCTTTTCAGAATTTTTTTTTTAATGCACCCTCCTAGCATTTTCCCCTCTCACAAAATAAAAAAAAATAAATATATAGCATTAGCACCAAATATATTTCATTAATTGGAACCATCAACATCCAAGCAGTCGGGCTGGTCTTCCAAACGCTGGGTTCGCTCGCGCACGCTTGCTTTTCCCCCAAAGAGTAAATCTCAGCTTCTCCGACTTGCCTATCGCTTTAAAATCTTAGAAACTGAGTTGTTGGTTGTTTCTTTTTCTCTTTCCTTTCCTTTTTTCTTCTTGCATAAGCTTTTTAAAAGAATCGATTTAGAAAATTGAACAGTTATTAGCATCTGTAATGGGGAGGTGGAGGGGGGGAAGCTGCTCCCCACCCCACCCCCACTCTGCGTTTCCGGGCTCGTCCGAGAAACCGCGGTTTAAAATTTAACCCTTCGAAGGGAGCTGGGGAACGACGGGGTGTTGTTTTTCCACCCCCCCCCCCCGGTCCCTCGCCACGATCCAGTATAAAATAATTACTGAAACATAAAAGTGCAAAGGGCGTGCGGGACCCTGATAAACAGGGGTCAGATTTCATAGGGGTGAGTGAGCGCGTGCGTGCGTGCGTGCGTGTGTGTGTGTGTGTGTGTGTGTGTGTCAGAGGAGAGAGAGAGAGAGAGAGAGAGAAAGAGAGAGAGAGAGAGAGAGAGAGAGAGAGAGAGAGAGAGAGAGAGAGAGAAGGAAAGAGAGAAAGGGAACGAATCTCAGAGGTCAAACTCCAGCCATAGTCGGAAGCCCGAGGGTTAGGGCGGGCTGCCCAGACTCGGAGCTTTCCCGGAGTTAACTGCCCCCAAGGGCACGCGACGCCAGGGAGCAGCCAGTCCCCGCGTATAATGGCCCCTGAACAAGTTATTTTGCCTCCTTTAATAAATAAATAAATAAATAAAAAGAAGGTGATAGATAAAACGGGCTTTCTCTCTCCGCGGACCCCGATCCACAGGCCAGGAGCGCCGCGGAGCAGCGTCAGGCATGCAGCCTGGACCCCCGGTGCCCTCGCGCGCGGGGAACGCGAGAGGGACAAAGAGTTGGGGCCAAGTTTAAGCTCTGGGCACAGCCAGGCTGGGGCGGGAAAGGGAGAGAGGGGAAGGAAGATCCCTGGGACAGACACCTGGGTGCCGAAGGTGGAGCGAGGAGGGAGGGCTGCCAGGCTAAGTTACAATCCTGGGGACGGGGAGCTGGCAGGGGAGGGCAGCCAGGCCGATCCCTGCAGAATGAGTGAGTGGAGGGTCGGCTGGGGCTCCTCCGGAAAGCAGGCTGCTTCTTCGAGCTCCAAAGCAAATCAAACCGACCTCCCTGTCCTCCCAGGTTCCCGCAGCCCCTCTTGGAAAACTCTTCGCTCGCTCTCTCTCTCTCACCAAACTTTGTGCTCCGCTCTGCTCGCTCCGGGGGAGGCTGTGGCGCAGGAAGGGTTAAGCGCGCCCGTCCCAGCTGACAGTCAGCTGATTGGGCCCTGATTGACAGCTCCGAAAAGTTTCCTTGTTTCTATACTATTATGCTAATCGCGGCCGCGCTCGCCGCCTCCCATTGGCCCGGAGTGCCAGTCAATTTCCCATCTGGGCCTGACGTCACAAGCACTATAAAACTCAGCAATTGCTTTAAACTCTTCTTGCCGGATCAGAGGCTTTAAAATCTTTTTTCATCTCCGGGCTCAGGCTGCTCGTCGGCTCGGGTCTTCCTCCCCCCACCCCCCCTTTTGCTCTCTCTCTGCCTCGCCTTTCCCCAGGACTGCGCTATTTTGCTTTAAAAAAAAAAAAAAAAAAGGCAAGAAAGAACTCAACTCCCCCCCTCCCTTCCCTGGAGCCCGGCGGCTGCACCTCTCTGTCTTTGCACTTTGCACGGAGAAAGCGCGCGAGGGAGAAAGAGAGAGAGGAAAGAGAAGAACAAAAAATTAAAAAAGAGAGCCAGGCAGAAGAAGAGGAGGCGAGAAGCATGAAGTGTTAACTCTCCCCCGTGCCAAGGCCCGCGCCGCTCGCTCGGACAGCCGCCCGCCGCGCCTCCAGCCCCGAGCGGCCGCCGCGCGCGCCCCGCCTGCAGCCCGGCCGGCGAGGCGAGCCCTCCTTATGCAAAGCGCGCAGCGGAGCGGCGAGCGGGGGACGCCGCTCCACCGGCCCGGCTCCTCCGGCTTCGCTGCCGCCGCCACCGCCGCCGCAGCCCGCGGAGGACCTTTCCGAGCCTGAAGCCGCCGCTGGCTCGGTGCGCACTACAGGAGAAGCAGGCGAGGAGGGGCCGGGGCGAGCGAGCATCTTGGCGTGAGCAGTGGGGGAGGGAGGGCGGACGCGGGGGGCGCGGGCAGGGCGAGGGGGGGTGTGTGTGTGTGCGCTCGGAGGTTTCGGGCCAGCCACCGCCGCGCGAGCTAGAAGCAACCCCAGCCCGGCAAGCTGGCTCACCCGCTGGCCACCCAGCACAGCCCGCTGGCCCCTCTCCTGCAGCCCATCTGGCGGAGCGGTGGCGGCGGCGGCGGCGGCGGCGGCGGCGGCGGCAGGAGAATGGCATCAGAACTGGCAATGAGCAACTCCGACCTGCCCACCAGTCCCCTGGCCATGGAATATGTTAATGACTTCGATCTGATGAAGTTTGAAGTGAAAAAGGAACCGGTGGAGACCGACCGCATCATCAGCCAGTGCGGCCGTCTCATCGCCGGGGGCTCGCTGTCCTCCACCCCCATGAGCACGCCGTGCAGCTCGGTGCCCCCTTCCCCCAGCTTCTCGGCGCCCAGCCCGGGCTCGGGCAGCGAGCAGAAGGCGCACCTGGAAGACTACTACTGGATGACCGGCTACCCGCAGCAGCTGAACCCCGAGGCGCTGGGCTTCAGCCCCGAGGACGCGGTCGAGGCGCTCATCAGCAACAGCCACCAGCTCCAGGGCGGCTTCGATGGCTACGCGCGCGGGGCGCAGCAGCTGGCATCCGCGGCGGCCGCCGGGGCCGGCGCCGGCGCCTCCCTGGGCGGCAGCGGCGAAGAGATGGGCCCCGCCGCCGCCGTGGTGTCCGCCGTGATCGCCGCGGCCGCAGCGCAGAGCGGCGCGGGGCCGCACTACCACCACCACCACCACCACCACGCCGCCAGCCACCACCACCACCCGACGGCCGGCGCTCCGGGCGCCGGGGGCAGTGCGTCCGCCTCGGCCGGTGGCGGCGCGGGCGGCGGCGGGGGCCCGGCCAGCGCCGGGGGCGGCGGCGGAGGTGGCGGCGGCGGCGGCGGCGGCGGGGGCGCGGCGGGGGCGGGGGGCGCCCTGCACCCGCACCCGCACCACGCCGCCGCGGGCGGCCTGCACTTCGACGACCGCTTCTCCGACGAGCAGCTGGTGACCATGTCCGTGCGCGAGCTGAACCGGCAGCTGCGCGGGGTCAGCAAGGAGGAGGTGATCCGGCTCAAGCAGAAGAGGCGGACCCTGAAAAACCGCGGCTATGCCCAGTCCTGCCGCTTCAAGAGGGTGCAGCAGAGACACGTCCTGGAGTCCGAGAAGAACCAGCTGCTGCAGCAGGTCGACCACCTCAAGCAGGAGATCTCCAGGCTGGTGCGCGAGAGGGACGCGTACAAGGAGAAGTACGAGAAGCTGGTGAGCAGCGGCTTCCGAGAAAACGGCTCGAGCAGCGACAACCCGTCCTCTCCCGAGTTTTTCATGTGAGTCTGACACGCCATCCCAGCTAGCCACCTTGCTAAGTGCTCCGCGGGGGTCCGACTCGGGAGTGGGGCTTGCTACTAGTTCCAGAGCCATGCTGGCCACCACCTCGCCCCCCTTCCCTGCCAAGTTTGCCCCCCACCCCAAGATGTCCCAAACACACACACACACACACCCTGCTCCTAGTTGGTGGCGGTGGTGGCTGTTTTTAAATTGGGGAGGGAATGGATGTCTGGCTCATGGATTGCCAATCTGAAAATCTCCATAACTTGGTAGCTTGTTTTTTTTTTAATGCCCCCCCCCCGGCCCCCCTTGCACAATGTTCAAAGATCTCAGCAGAGTTCTTCATGCTCACCTTTGAAGCCTGCATCATTTACATATGTTTTTTTTTTCTTTTTCTTCTTCAGTTCATGAGCTGGTGTTCCATTTTTCTGTGTGTGTTTTTATTTTGTTTGGATTTTTTTTTAATTCTACTTTTTGGAGCTTGCTGTGTTGACTTTTTTTTTTTCCAACCTCTACCTTCAACTCCTTCTCCACCCATCTCTTCTGAGATAAAAGAGGAAAAAAAAAAAAGCTAAGGTGTTTTGTTTTTATTTCTCCACCTGAGTTCTTCATGTGAGATTGAGCTTGCAAAGGAAAAAAAAAAAGTGAAATGTTATAGACTTGCAGCGTGCTGAGTTCCATCGGGTTATTTTTTTAGCACTGTTACGCTAAAATAGAGAAAAAAAAATCCTCATGAACCTGCCACAATCAAGCCTGCATCAACCTTCTGGGTGTGACTTGTGAGTTTTGGCCTTAGGATGCCAAACCTGAGAGTTCAGTCTGCCATTAAAAAAAAACACAAAAAACTCATTCTCATCTCATGCATTATTATGCTTGCTCCTTTCTCTTAGCAACGATGAACTATAACTGTTTCAAAAACTTTATGGAAAAGAGACATTATATTAATAAAAAAAAAAGCCTGCATGCTGGACATGTACGGTATAATTATTTTTTCTTTTTTTTTTTTCTCCTTTTGGCTTGGAAATGGACGTTCAAAGACTTATGGCATGGCATTCATACTCTTGTTTTATTGTCTCATGACTTTTTTGAGTTCAGAACGAAAAAGTGCAACCCTAGAGTCTTCTCCCCATGAAAGTTTGCATCTGCTCCAAAACTGCTTTGAGTTACTCAGAACTTCAGCCTCCCATTGTAAATGCACTGAAGGCATTCCTTGTCAAAGATGCCAGGATGGGTTAAAAAAAAAATTAAGTGGCAAACATTCAAGAACTCCTCATGTTTTCTTTTGAGTAAGAATGACACCCCACTTTGGGGGACTCAAATTTGTGCTGTTTCCGAAAGCAGTCTAAAATTTATTTTTTCAAGAAGAGAAATCTGCCCCGTTATTTGTTTGGTTTGTTTTAGTTTTCTTTCTTTTTTTCTTTTTTCTTTTGGTCATTGTCAAATGTGGAATGCTCTGGGTTTGTAGTATATAATTTAATTCTAGTTTTTATAATCTGTTAGCCCAGTTAAAATGTATGCTACAGATAAAGGAATGTTCTAGATAAATTTGAAAAGAGTTAGGTCTGTTTAGCTGTAGATTTTTTAAAAGATTGATGCACTAAATTGTTTACTGTTGTGATGTTAAGGGGGGTAGAGTTTGCAAGGGGACTGTTTAAAAAGTAGCTTATACAGCATGTGCTTGCAACTTAAATATAAGTTGGGTATGTGTAGTCTTTGCTATACCACTGACTGTATTGAAAACCAAAGTATTAAAAGGGGAAACACCCCTGTTTATATCTGTAGGGGTATTTTACATTCAAAATGTATGTGTTTTGTTTTTTTCTTCAAAATTAAAGTATTTGGGACTGAATTGCACTAAGATATAACCTGCAAGCATATAATACAAAAAAAAATTGCAAAACTGTTTAGAACGCTAATAAAATTTATGCAGTTATAAAAATGGCATTACTGCACAGTTTTAAAATGATGCAGATTTTTTTACAGTTGTATTGTGGTGCAGAACTGGATTTTCTGTAACTTAAAAAAAAAATCCACAGTTTTAAAGGCAATAATCAGTAAATGTTATTTTCAGGGACTGACATCCTGTCTTTAAACAAACAAACAAAAAAAATGAAAAGTAAATCTTACCACAATAAATATAAAAAAATCTTGTCAGTTACTTTTCTTTTCCATATTTTGCTGTGCAAAATTGTTTTATATCTTGAGTTACTAACTAACCACGCGTGATGTTCCTATGTGCTTTTCTTTCATTTTCAATTCTGGTTATATCAAGAGAAAGAATAATCTACAATAATAAACTGCATTTTTTTTTTTTTTGATTCTGTACTCAGTTTCTTAGTGTGCAGTTTAACTGGGCCCAACACCGCATGTGAAGTGTAAAATGCACCCTTTTACCCTTTTCTCCAGAGGAAGGATTAATAGAGGAGTAGGGAGGCGGTAACTCAGGGTGAAGCATAGGCTGTTTGGTGAGGCGGGAGGAGGCCAGTTCCTTTTAATAATTAGCAATATTTAATATAAACATAAATGATGACCTGTCATATTTTACACCCCACAACCCTTCCCCCCTAAAGTTTTCAAAGGAGTTGAGCTATCAGTGCCCTCTGGTGAAAATAAACAACATTCCCAGCCATAGAGCAGGGCCTTCCCAGCATGGCCTGAGCATCTGAGCCAGCAGCGTGCCCATGGAGAGGAAGATAAGCCGGGAAAATTAGGCATGGCAAACGTGGCTTGGGTGCCTGTGCATTTAATGGCAAAGATCAACAGTGCTCACTTCCAGGCTAAAATTGATTCTTTTTCCCTTCTTCCCTTCCACGCCAGGATTCTCTTGTTAGCAAGGCCTGACAAGATTTAACATCCACACTTTGGACAAATCAAAGTTGTTTGTGTTTTAACTTTGAAGGTCATTCTTCTTTAATGGGAAAAAAAGAAAAATCCACCCCTCACTTACAGAACTCCAAGTACATATCTGGGTTTAAGCTCTGTTATTAAATAGTATTTCCCGGTCAATATTTAACAGATGAGCTGGTAATGATTTCAGATCACCTTCGTCCCTGAAATCTGCTCCCCAAAATAATGTCCTGGTGGAATAAAGGCTGTGCTTTGATTTGTGAGTATCTACCCCCCAAAACATGCTGTGTATCATTTGGAAAGTCTTGTGCTACCTACCCTAACAGCACTGACCTATTTTAAAATGACACAAATTCATGCAACTCTTGGTCAACTTCCCCTAGAATTCTCACACGAACAGACAAAGCTAATACTGTTTTGAAAATAGAGCGAAGCACCATGACTTTTGCTTTATTTCGTTCTCCGTTTCTTTTTTAAGATAATATTGCAACTCTGACCAAAGGCCTTATTTTGAAGAAAACAGGTTGTGCTTGGCGCTGATGAGTTCTGGCCAGTTTATCATCATGTCTTCCTCCCACCCCATCCCCACCCCCCTTTTTGTTTTTCCCATAAACAGCGCATACCCTGTACATTTTGACCTTCCTTTCTGTGCCAGTTCAGATAGGGCTCCCAAATACACATTTATTTTGCCTAGCAAAAGTCTTAATAGTAAACCACTTCATGTGCTAGATGTTAGTTGCTCTCTGCTTCCGAGATTTATTTTCCCCTTGTCTTTCCTCTGATCCTGACTCCGAAATAGGCCGCCTCCCCCTGAAGAAGCAGAAATGAAGATGTCACTGATGCAGAAAAGCTCAGCATCAGATGACAGATTTTAGGCAAACACATCCTTAAAATAAGAGGGACATGCAGGGTGGAGTTATTGTGACGATCTCATGAGGAACGGGACTTGGGAGAAAAAATACAATTGGGTAACAATTAAGGATTTTGATAGAACCCTACAGGCAGTTCAATATAATAAGAAAGCTCTGGCCCAAAAGATTAGGAGGCAAATAGAGGGGTGCCGACAAAAATGGGGTTTTGGTGGCTGGCTTTAAGAGGAGGTTAGCGCCTCGTGAAAGGTGTTTTTGGAAATAATTGTTACTGAGAACTTTGAAGTAGAGCGGTGAACACAAATACATGCTTTTTTTTTTTTTTTTTTAAAACAAAGAAATCCTAAATCCTGCCTAAGTGTCCCTGTAACAAATAAGTCTCTAAATTAAATATAAATATATATATATGATGAAATCTAGCTTTCCCTTTACACTGCATTTGAGTCTTTGTCTAAATAGTGTTCAAATTCCTTTCGTTCCAATTACAGAACTGAGCCCACTCGCAAGTTGGAGCCATCAGTGGGACAAGCTACATTTTGGAAGCCCCAGCAACATGTACTTACCAGTGTATTTCATGAAATGAAATTTATGTGAGAACTGTGCATTAAAAAAATATATATATTGTCAGTAGCCATAGTATTATCTGCAATGGTAGGCTACCATCTGCCCCTGACTTCCGTTGAGTCTCCTTCCTTTTTTAAAGAAAAGATGTTTGCGTTAGAGAACAAGGCTCTTAAATATATAACCTCCGTATTAATCAATTATGCCACTTGTCTGAGGGTCGTCTATACCGACCCGTAGCAAAGCAATCCAGTGCTTGTCGCTTTAAGACGTGCGAAACTGGAATAGGCGCAGTTGTTTTCCAATGTAATATTCGTTTTTTAAAAACCCACTGAAATGTAAAAACATAGATGCATATACATTTATAGGAAGGGAAGGATCCCAAAGGTACCGGCTAGCAGTTGTAAAGCATATGTAGACATGCGCTCTCAATAGTACTTTTTCACGCTTCATTGTTTCCCTGGCAGATAATTTCACCAAGGAGAAAAAAAAAATATATTGGACTCACCCCTCTACCCCTTCACCCCCCCTCCCCGAAGCAGATGCCATGGGCAGAAACTCTAGCAGAGCCTGGCTTTCTCGTAGGCCCCAGCTAATGTTGTGTGTATCAGTGATGTCAAACGTGTTTATTTATCAGACTCAGCCATAAATGAAAACAATGTGTAGCAAAATACAAAGTTCAGTCAAAACACACACCCTCCTTGTGTGCTTTTTTCCCCTCCCCCTTTTTTTCTGTCCCCAGACATTCACGAGATGACATCTCCTTAATTTCCCTGCTCCTTGTATGTTTCCTTTCTCAAAACCATGTCATAACTTTTTACAACGCATCTGCCACATTAATAAGAGCAGCATCAAATAGGCAGCGATTCCACTTCCTGATCGTGGGGAGGAAATGATGCCTCAATATCATATTTATTTATCTGTCTCTATGCCATAACCACCCGGGGCCCCTTTCCACACAGGCCGCTGTCGAGGGGGAAATGCCCTATATTTATTACTGAATGTAAGATCCTAAAGCTCTGATCGTCTTGCCCTTATATCTCCCTCCCTCTCCCCACTCCCCCCCGTAGTTTTTATTTAGTGGCGACGATTCTAGATCCTTCTGTGCTTAAACAGGACTTCCTCTTGCCAAGCCATCAGCTTTCCTGCTAAGTGCAGCGAGCAGAGGGCACATGGCAGCCACCCTCGCAAACACGGGGCACAGCTGTCACAGTAGCTGCATTCCTAGCATTTCCCTCCACTAAATAACCCAAGCTGCTGTGACACACGCAGAGGTTCCCAAGTGCAGGGCTGGGGGTGGGGGGTGGGAATGTGGGGGGCTGAGGGAGCTTTTGCTGTTGCTGTTGCTGTTGGCTTTGTGAAGGCCAACTTACTTCTGTACCCACACACGCTTGGCTTCCTAAAATGTAGTCCTCCGGTATTCTAGGCCGATCAATAAATGTAAAAGTCGGCTTGCTACACGGGTTATGTCTATTTTTTTGCCTGTCAGTTGTTAACTGACACAGGTTGGAAGACGGAAAATACATGAGTGACAACCTTCAGCCGTTTGATTTCCGTGTCAGGAGAACGCACAGCCAGGCTCCGGGGCCTTGCTCCTCAGAAACATCCGATAAGACTCCCAGCTTGAGATTGCTGAGTTGCAAGGAAATATATATATATATATATATATTTTTTTATTTATTTATTTATTTATTTATTTATTTATTTATTTATTTTTTTAATAACAATTTTGCCCTTCTATGAAGAAAAGTCTTTTTTTTTTCTCTCTCTCTCTCCTTTTTTTAGGGAAACTTTATCTACGGCGATACGTTATCATGTTTGTACCACTTCTGATTATCCCTCAGGATGCTGCATGAATCATTAGGAGTGGGTGCCTTGTAGTTTGGAGGGAGAAAAAAAAAATAAGAGGAACCCTGAAGTTTGTTTTCACTCTGAGCCCATTCTAAATTTAGAAGATGTCCCAAGTCCAAGGCAGAGCACACAGCAGCCGTCAGGGAGGTGGTCTAGGGCCCAGCTATGGGCATCAGCTATTGTTTGTTTGTTTTTGCTTTTGTTTTGAAACCAGAGTCAGGGCCTTCACCCACCTTCTGATAACACTGCTCTAGTCACTTTTGATATAAATCTTCAAAAATGGAGACATCCAGCGGCCCCAGAAAAGAGGAATTCTCTCCCATCCTTGCTCTGCCCCGGCTCCAGAACAAACCCAGCTCTGTCTTAGCATTTTTGTCTCCAGCGGGGGTAGAGGACAGGGCAAGAGGATTTCAGTCTAGCAGGCTGTCTCATGATTGTCGGGGCATAAAGAAGTACAGTCCTGCAACAATGTGGGAGCATCTTTACCCTTCAGAGAGAGGGACAGAACAAGAAACAAAGCAAGTCAAATTGCTGTGCACGAAGGCGGAGCAAAACCCCGGGCTCCGGCCTCCTGCACCATCTGTGGGAGGTGAGAAATGGGGGGACCCAGAGAGAAGGGAGAGGGGGACCTCCAAGGGACAGTCCCAGGAATAACCCTGGGAATTCACTTGCTCACTAGCTGAAGTCTGATCTGGGATCCACACGCCAGATGCAAACAAGGTTCGGCTGCCTGTGTCTTTCAAATAGGCTCACATGGGTTTCCTTTTTGAAAATAATGTTAGAGATCAAACCCAAATCGGGGGGGAAACTGTTCATGTCTTCACTTCGAGGCATTTATAGACATATCAGTCTGTGACTTCAGGGCGGTGATGTTTTAGACCATCGGGCACATTATACCGATGTTTATGTGGCCACCACAATGGGTTGGATGGCCTCGTGACAGTTTTTATTGTTTACATTTGAAAGGCTCTTGCCTGTGTGTTTCCCATAAGTTGGCCCTCTGTAACCAGGCCGAAACAGAAAGAACACACCCGCAGCACACCGAATTAACATTTTTATGTGAATTTGCTTCAGAGTTGGACAGTTTTAAGAAACTCACAAGACATATTTTCCACCAAGAAGCTAGGGTTGGAATGAACATAATCATCCACTGAGCACCTCTCCTCTTGTTAAAAAAAAAAAAAAAAAAAGTCATTTTTTTCCCCCCATTCTTTTTGTTGAATAACAATTTTTTTTCTATAATTAGGATTCTGGATTGCAAAATCGCATCCCTCCCTTCACAGATTCTTGGATCTTTTCTTAGGATTAGAAAGGGGCCTTCATTCAAAAAGGGAGGTCGAGGGAGGGGTGTCTGTGGAGATTTGGGAAGGGAGGGGAGGAGAGAAAATAGTTCTGTGTTCAGCCCCAACGCCCCAAGTCCCCACGCAGCCCGGGCCTGGATATGAGCTGCACACTGGGGATTTGGATTGAGTTTCTCTGTTCTAAACATTCTGATCGCCAACCTTGACCGTTTCCACGCTAAGATTCCAGAGAACTGCTTTTCTTGTGGCTGGTTCTTTCGGGTGGGGACTAAGAGAAGTCGGGAAATCAGAGAGAGCTGGGCAGGGAGGACTGAAAGCCGCTCCCCTGAGAGACTCCCCGGGGAGGATGCTTGTGAAGGGGGCCTGGGTTGAAGAATCGGGTCAGCGGTGCAGATGCCCATTTTGCAACACAGACTTGCTCCGTGGCCTTGTCCACCTCCGGAGGCCTGGACACGCGGGTTTCTGGCCTTCGTTGGCAGTTCTCCTGCAGGAAAGCAGGCCTGAGGATGCCAAAATGCCAGGAAACCCTGAAAGAGGCCCAGAGGAATGGAGAGAGAGCAGGAAGATGTGGCTGTGCAGGGCCCATGAGAGTATTACCAAGAGAAGCCCACCTTGGCTTATGACCGCCATTTGCCAGGGGTCACCTCTAGGCGGTTCCCAGGGCCCCTGCATCCAACTAGGAAGGGTCTGTTTGTAGGGTGACTGACAAGCCCTGGCCAACCCCGAGATCCCAGAAATCCCGAAAACAGTGATGTCCTGAGCTCCCAGGCTCCAGCCTTTTAACTGCCCGACCTCTGTGCCATTCCAGTGTTCTCTCTATCATTTTTTTGCAACCTCTTCCTCTCCTGCCTGGTCCCCCGGGTCCCTCAGAGACTCCGAAGTCAGTACTTGAGTCAGTACTTGGACCCATTTCATCGCACCTGCCCCAGACAGAGGCGAGGGTGGGGAACAGGGCCTGCAGCTGCTCTGGGAGAAGGGTAGGCACATGACCTGGGTGTTTAATGCTGGCTGGAGCTTCTGATGCCAAGGAAGAGTCTGGAAGCTCAGCTCGGAATGAAGGCGATGAAGGCAAGGAGGATACTGAGATCCCCCCTCTCCCAGTTTCCATGCGTTCCCAACCCCCCCTTCCTTTCTCCTCCCCCAAACACTTTCCCCTCTCACCAGCCTCCTCCCTATATATATCTGCACTGCTGGGCCCATCCACGCTGGGCATCACCTTGGCTTCTGGTGGTCGCATTGAGTAGAGCCAGGTGTGCCCCTCATCCTGGGGATTCCTGGGAGGGCTGCCAGGTGTGGAAGGACAAGGGGCTGGACAGAAGGGATGGGTCCCTGCAGCAGACTGAGGTCATGGCGTTGTCCCTGCGTGATGGCCTGGCTGAAACCCCAACACGGCAGCTGTGTTCAGAGGCCCGGAGGCCTGCGGGCTCAGAAGCTAGCCGGGGTGCCCTTCCAGATGCCCCAACACTGCCTCGGTGCCAGGACCCCGAACTCCTTGCGTCCACACCCCAGCAAAGGACTGGGATTTGTACTGGAATTTGGTTTAAGATTTCCAAGAGAACTGTCCCAGCGACAGCCAGCAGCGCTCACAGGGACATCAATACTAGCTGCTCCGCTGCTCTCCCAGGCAGGCGCCTGGAGGGAGGGAGGGGGATTGAGCCCCAGAAGGCTCTGCCCTTCACCTGGGGATCTCCCAATCCTCCTTCCAGTTGCCTAGGAACCCTCTGTAAATAAGACCAGAGCCTCCAGATCACTGGATTTTTTTTTTTTTTTACTTCATTCATTTTCCGGCCCATTTTCCAAATCTATCTGGTTAGAGATGGAGGAAGGAGGAAAAGGGAAAAGAAAGGAGGACATGCCAAAAGCCAGTTTT